TTAAGTTGTTGGGTTTTGAGCGAACTCGGCGAGTTTATTGATAAACTCGGCGAGTTGGATCGGTTTTTTCCCGACTTTGAAGTTAAATGGAAAAACACAGTGAGTTGAAGGGTTGAAGGCACACTCGGCGAGTTGGGTCAACTCGGCCCGTTGACTATGACTTTTTGAGTTTTGTCTTTGACCAAGTTGTCCTGATGGGGTACTTGAGCTAACCTGAATTGTAATAAAGGAAACTATGGGCTTAGGATAAGACTCATATGAGGTTGGGCCCAATTTGGAAAATTGGGCCATTAGCGGGCCTTTGTGGATCTTTTGGTTTTGGACCTTTTGGTTAATGGATTTGGGCCTCAGTTTTGGGCCATGAGTAAAATGGTCATTTTACCCCAAGTTTGGTTGGTGGGACTTAGAATGGAACCCAGTTGCTAATTGGGTGTTATTTTGATATGATAGATCGGAGGTATCGTCAGGGCAGCAGCTAGGGATTCTTGCAGTGAACTTCAGTATTCGATGTGAGTTACCTCACTGTACTATGGGTCGAAGGCACCAATGCCGGCCCATAGGTTTATGCGTTATAGGAAGACTAAGGGGTGACCCTTGTCATTAGTATGAAAGACTTGGAGGTGACTCCTGGCAAGTCTGTATGCAAGACCAGAGTGTGGACTCTGGCAGTTAAGTAGTTAAGTATTGTAGATTGTATGCTAGTTGTCTTTGTGATGCTTGTATGGAAGACCCCCGGGGTAGCCCGTGACACTAAGATATTAGACCATGGGGGAGCCCATGGCATTCCAGGTAAAGACCATGGGGGGAGCCCATGGCATTCCAGATAAAGACCATGGAAGGAGCCCATGGCAACTATACGTATGTTGCATGATAATGGCACTTTCTATCATATGTTTGATATGTTCATTATGTTTGGTATGAATGGCATGTTTGGCTCGTTCGATATGTATGATATGTGGTATTTTGGGGAACTCACTAAGCTTTATGCTTACAGTTTGTGGTTTATGGTTTCAGGTGTTTCCGGTTCAAAATGGAAAGGCTCGGCTAGATCGCAGCGCATACACCTGTGTTTCCCGCAACATGTGATTTTGGGATTTAACTCTGATAATTGTTTTAATTTGAAATGTCTTTAAATATTTGGATACAGTTTCGTTAGTGTTTTGATTATATTAAAATAATTTTTTTTACCCTGTGAGTTTTGGATGTTACAAGACTTATGAAGACGTACTATTTGGATACAAGGTATTGTTATTTTTTATTCTTTTGTGCATTTCACTATGATTTTGTGACCTCCTCATTTTCACGGCCAGAAAATACCGATATTGTATATGCTTTATAAAAATCAGAGTACCCCTTTTATTAAAAATGTTGCGGAATTTGTTCCCAGAAAACATGATAAATACTTTATCAAAGCATTTCCGAAGAAATGTATTTTATTCATTTTAAAACATTTGGGATGTCATCGTCAATACAGACACATAAGCATAAACAGATCTTACATTCATTTACACTAGTGATCTACATCTCCTTAATCTCTCAGTGTAAAGTAGCTTCATATCGACACCTGTGATACAAATAAACTTGAGTGAGTCAGGTTGGGAAACCTGGTGAGCACATATGGTTTTCACCCACAATAATATAATTATTATGTTTAAACATCAAACAATCAACCCAATTACTCATCCCCATTATCTTCTTTACTCTTAAGGGTCTACCCTAAGAATCATCTATCCTGCATTCGTTCATTCCGAAGTGCATTGCTTCCAGGATTATATGACAGGCACTAACTCCATAGCTGCCAATGCTCGTTCGTAAAGCACTAATTCCATAGCTGCTAAAGTTCCTTCATCGGGTACTAAATCCATAGCTACCAGTGTTTATCTAATAGGTATTAAGTCCATAGCTACCAACGTTCATCTAACAGGTACAAAGTCCATAGCTACCAGCGTTTATCCAATAGGCACTAAGTCCATAGTTGCCGATGTTATTTATTAGACACTAAGTCTATAACTGCCAATGTTCACTCATATCATCTTTCATCTCTCATCATTCATCTACCCATGTTTTACCCAACATATTCGTAGATATAAAATACATATACAGTTTAAATCATTTAAAATATGTATAAAATCGTTCATCCAGCATAGATAGCAAGTATACAGGTTATATGCATACATAGCACGTAATTTATATAAAATACTTCATATCTATGTGTAAGATGAAAGTAATTATGCACTCACTTGTTAAGGTGGTAATTTCGATCTCAGACAACGTTTCGCTTCTATTAATTCTACTTTCTTTCGACGAAACCTAGTATCATTACCACTAGATTTTAGTCTAATATTTAACGCGAATATTTACGAGTGTTATCATTTTATAAGTGTCAAACAATACTTTTCAACCACAATGTACAAACAGGGGCAAGACATGAAACACCGAAGGGCAGGACCATTTTGGCATTATAACACTTCTGAAATCCAACAACCATATGCGACCCTTCAAACCAGATTCCCCATACCGCAAGCGGTTAAAGATATTATAACGACACTTATATAACTCGTAATAATAGCCCAATATTTATTATAAGTTCATAATAAAATACTAATATTAATTATAAGCTATACTTAAAGTAGGGTAAGCACAACTTACTTACAATGGGGTTTTAGCAAGGAGTCGGGCTCTGCAGGGGCAGAACTTCGTCGCTAAATCTTTCTAAGAAAGATTCTTGCAGCGCTTCAGCGCTCACCTTACTATACTAAAACTACAGAAAGAGAAGTCGAATCACGAGGGACCAATATGCCCGGGGCAGAAAGAGAAGTCGAATCACGAGGGTTTTAGCAAGGAGTCGGGCTCTGCAGGGGCAGAACTTCGTCGCTGAATCTTTCTAAGGCTCTTATTTATAGTAATTGAATTTTCAAAAACTACCTTCATAGTTACTTAATGATCTTATAGTTATATAAACAACTAAACACCCCTTTATAATACTATTTTAAATAGATTTAACGATATTTGTACTAAACTAATGCCGAAAGTACTCAACACTAGTCTTATAATGACCGCATCGTCGATACCTTTCTAATGATATATACATATGTATATATATGTGTACGAATATATGATTTATACTTTATTTTAATACGTAAATATGCTATTAAAAATTATAACTCGTTCATACGAACTCCGTTTTTGACGTTCTTTATATCCACGCGTTGGTATTTACGAGTAATACAACTTTCATTTAGACCCCGTCGGCTAATTCTCATTCTATCTACGATTTACAAAACTGTATCGAATTTTATCGCGTTCGAAGAGTAGGGACTAAGTTTTGTTCATATCTTTCGCATACGAGCTCCGTTTTCGACTGCTTTTTATCGTTGAACTCCTATTAACGATATCTTTATTTCTTGTTTAGATATTTGGCTTAAAATCGACCGATCTAAAATTCAAATTCCGGGCTATGCACTGCTATGCTAAATCTTAGAAAAATCGTAACTTCCTAATACGAAGTCAGATTTGGACATTCTTTTTATGCACGCTCTCGGTTTAACGTATACTACGACTTTTGTTTAGACCGCTAAGGCTAAAAAGTATTTTATCAAAAATTCACTTTTTACGTTACGCGGTGTCATGTCAGTTTAGCCGTAAAACTTCGACAGGTTATAACTTCTTCGTTATAACTCGGATTTCGGCATTCTTTATATTACAGAACCCTTGTGACATATACTATAACATGGTTAAGATTTTCATTCTAAATAATCTTTCATTAAAAAGTCTTTTTTTTTACGATTATTGTCTCTAAATTGATTAGCCCGAATCTGCAGACGTTACAGATTTCATGGTAAAAGTTAAAAAAAAAAGGCATTACCAAGATTTTTGTGATTTTTCTTTAGGCGACATTTGAGGCATTTATTGGAATTCGAGTTGATAAAGCAACCGCTCAACTTAAACTCTTTGGAGATAATTTGTAGGTGTGATGTTGGATTTACTATGATCAATATTATTTAATAATCTAATTAATGAAAATATGTAGGTCGTGGAGCAAAATCTTCAAATGGACAACATGTACAAATCACAAGATGTGATATCTGCACATATTCGTGTCATCCAGCTTGTTTATAATTCAGGGTAAGTTAATGTGACAAAAGACATGAACGCCTCATTATCAAAATAAGTCCTAGAAATTATAGCTCCCCACTAGTACATCTATGAGCTTTGTGAAAGTATATTGTTAATATATGATGATTTATATTTTTAATGCAGGATGTGAATGGCCCACAAACTGTTGCCTTCAATCTTCCCAATGATAAGCGTATTGTAAAAGATATTGGTTCATCAATGGTCTTGTTGAAAAACATTTATGAGGCAAAGTAAAGTGAAAAATAGTCCATGATTTTATTTTTTTAAAATATATCTTCATTCTTAATAACAAGTTTTTATGACTAATTTAGAATATTTTGTAAGAATAATCCAACAGGTTGAAACTAATTCTTCAGCCTATAGCAGACTTGAGTATTGTAAAGGAACAAAAGGAGCTAGTATATATTTTATCTACACAAACAATACCCGATTGGGGCCCCAAACCTTCATATGGGCCTAGGCCCATCACTCATATTGTCATGCCTTTTGGGCTGGACCTACATATGATGCACTAAATATAAGGATGTGTCATGTGACCGTTCTTTTAGCGTCAACGAATCTTGAATGCCTATTCAAACATGTCCACTATCAACTTTAATTACAAACCGATATCAACTAAACTATAACCTCCTTGTTTCTTCAACCTCATATCTTCCACACACTTTCTCAACTTCACAGCATCACTCCAACTTCCAACACCAACATAAGCATTCGCTAAACAAACAGGTACCCTGCTTTTCTAGGTTCCAAATAAAAAAGATCTCACCTACTTTCTTCCCCATTTCAACATCCCCATAATAACCACACCAACTCAACATCGCCCCCAAAACACTTCATCTCTCAACACCATCTTCTCTATAAACTCATACCTCACTCAACCTCCCACATCTACCCAACATATCCACCACACAAACATTATGCTCTGTAACCCGTTCCACACCATATTCATCCAACATACAATTATAATACCCAATCCCTTCTTCCACCAACCCTGAATGACCACAAGCCGATAGCAAGTTTATAAAACTCGTTTTTGTCGGGGGTGTTTTGGTCATTATCATTTCGTTGAACACCTCAATTGCCTTACGACCTTCACTATGAAACCCGTATGCAGAAATCATTGAATTCCAACTTGCAATTGTCTTTTCCGATGAAGAACCGAATATGATGATGGAAATGTCGAGCCTCCCGCAATTGCTATACATGTCGATAAGTGCAGCGTTTATGAAACTGTTTTTGTGAAAATTTGATCTTAAAATATATCCATGGATTTGTTTTCCATATCTGATTGTTCCTAAATGTGTACATGATGATAACATAGTCACGATTGTGATCTCATCAGGTTCAAAATCCATGTTTTTAAACAAACGTACGCGGTTTTCGCCTCCTTGTTTTGAGAAAGAACCGAGATCATGCAATTCCATGAACAAAGATTCCGGTCAACACACAAGTCAAACACTAAACTCGCACTCTCAACATCCCCGAATTTTCCATACATTGTGATCAACACATTTTGTACACGAACGTCGCGATCAAACCAAGTTTTATGCGCGATTCCGTGAGCTAGTTTCCCCGGAATCACCGATTCCAGGTTCTGGAAGCGGATATGACGCTTACGAGGGTAACGGAATCGGGTTTTGTGTATGTTTCTTGTCTCATTAAGTTGAAAGTTTTTAAAGCTTCTAGAAAGTATCCGTGTTTGTGTGCAACTGTGATCATGGCATTCCAACATGTGGTGTCTACAACTTTTGAAACACTTTGTAATAATTTATAAGAAGCTTTCAAGTCTCCACAATTGGTGTACATGAAGATTAAGGAGTTAATCGCGTGGATATTGTTCGAAACCCTAATTTCAACTCCCAACTGTGTAAAGATTCCCCAATTTAAGAAATTCGGGTGAATCACAAGAAGAAAGGATTGCTAGAACAGTTGATAAACTGCATTCCAAACATTGATACAATAGTTTCTTGAATAGGATTTGAGCAAATCTTGAATTCCCATTTTGGATGTATCCGGATATCATTGTATTCCAAGAAACCAAATCTTTATCTTTTATAGACATGAACAAATTTTCAGCTTTGTCTATTTGGTTTGCATTTGGAATACATGTTCATAAGACTATTATTCAATATTAGGTCAAATCTGGGTAATCTTTTTATAAAGAATCCATGAATGGTTTTCCCTTCTCTTAAAAGCAATGATTCTGCACATAATGAAAGCACAGAAAGTATTGTCACTGTATCCGGTTGGATAGAAGATTTTATAAATTGCATTTCACTCAAAAGATGAAATGCTTCAACAATCATTCCATTTGAAGCAAACCCTTGAATCATTGTATTCCAAGAAACCAAATCCTTATCATAAATCCCTCTAAACAGAGTCTCAGCAGCATCAATATCTCCACATTTTGAGTACAATGAAACAAGGGCATTTTGGACAGAAACATGAGGGGTTTCATCTAATCCAGTTTTATTCCAATCCCATGAAGAGTCTTACCATATTATGAGAGTTTAGCAAAGAATTTGAAGCTGCAATAGCACATGATAAACTGACATCATCAACTTGTGTTCCCTAGAAAACATGTTCTTGAAATACCATAAAGATTTTTCAGGATGATGGTTTCTTAAACAACCAGTAATCATAGAGTTCCATGAAAATTGTCTTTCACTTTGGAATCCATAAATATGCTCTCTGAGGACTCCAAATCACCAGATTTAGCATGTGCATTGATAAGAGCATTGCATAAATCAGGGTAAGAAAGTAAACCTAGCTTTAGGCCTAAACTATGAACAGCCTGTAGATATAGCAAACTATTTGTTAATAGTTGACAATCCTGAAATGGCAATCACTAGAGTTACAGAGTCAAACTTGATTCCTTCATGTAGCATTTGAACAAAGAAGCTTATTGCATCTGTAAACTGTCCATTTTCGATTGTACATGTCATCATTGCATTCCAAAGTACCACATCTTTGCAAGAAATCTCACCAAAAAGTGCCAAAGAAGAAGGATAATGTCCTGCTCGTGTATAAGCTATAATAAGAGAAGTGGAAGTGGGGAGATGACCGAGAACACCGACCTTAAATGCTAAGGCATGAACATTGACTATTTTCTAAAATCGGGTTTCACTTTACATAACTCAACAAGATCAAGAACATCAAAAACCCAAAAGCGAAAAGCTTTGAGTTCTCCTAGGCATTTCATCGAACGGTTGGCAGGGCCCACGAAAAAGTCTGGCCAAATAGGAGAAGTGATGATGGGCAACACAAGCGATTGATGCAGGTTTTGTAGGCAGAAATGGAACGAAATTGAGAGGGAACGAAGAAGGAGTCGTTTTCAATGATTTGCAAAGTACACTTGCCCAACGAATCATGCGTCGATGTTGTTATTATCGTTTCATAGGCATTTTTCAGTTCATTGATCTTTCTATGCTTAGACCATCCTCGTTGGCAACCAAGCATTTGTTGGTGGCATATTTCAATTAAAAAAAAGAAAAAACATCATAAATGGTCCCTGTGGTTACTCAAAATCTGAAGTTTAGTCCCCGTGGTTTAAAAACCTCATAGATGGTCCCTGTGTTTACAAAGTTTACAAAGTTACACACAGAGAAGAACATGAAACCAAGAACCACAAAGAACATGAAAGACCTACCCCTTTTCGTCTCTTTACCTGAATCAAACTTTATTCCCTTCTATCCTCTCTTCATTCACACAACACAACCGATTTCAGTTTGATTCAATTTAAGGCTCCGATTCAGACTCCCCTCTGCCGCCACCGAGAAAACACAATCATAAATGAGGTCACAATCAGCTATGCTTCTTAATGCGTGCGTCTCATGCGTGTCCTGACAAGAAGAAGAAACCGCTGCCCTTTTCTACGACTTGTTCTTAAACGAATCAGGCACCAAAATCACAGC